TCATTCCTTACCTTCTCATGCCTCCCAAATATGTCTGGCAGCTAGGGTAGAATCTCTAGGTTCTCAGATGGCCAGTGTTCCACCTGCCAGGGACTCCTGACTGAATTCCTGTATGTTATTATTCTTTAGGGATACCTTTATAGTCACTGTGGGCAACGCTGTCACCAGTATCTTGGCTGGCTTTGCCATCTTCTCCGTTTTGGGCTACATGTCCCAGGAACTTGATGTCCCTGTTCAAGAAGTAGCCAAAGCAGGTAAAGACTCCTCCTTTTAGTTTGTTGTGAAAGTCTCTCTCTCTCTCTCTCTGTGTCTGTTTGTGAATGCTCATGTGGAAAAGCAAACATACAGTATTTTGTTCTCCATGGATTGTATTTCTGAGGTTTGAGCTGACAGATCAAAGTACTAGGATGTTTTGATATGCAGGAATGTGAAATCCACCTGCTGCCACAATATATTGTCATGCGTTATCTCTCTTGCAATGCAATGTACGTTGGATTGTTTTGAAATGGGCAGATACTAGCTTTACCAGAGACCTGCTTCTGGCGGAGATGAAACGTTCTAAAACTGGCTATGGATATGCACCAACATAGCTGCCTTCCTGTTGATACTTACTTTGAAAGCATGGCTGAAACACGCGCCCGGACAAGCATCTTACTATGCCCCTAAATTTGCTGATGTTTCTAGAAGAAAACATGCAACATCGGACTATGGCAGTCTCTTCCCACAATATTCAGTTGCAGTTCCCCTTCTCCCAGTATGCGTTTTGGAGACGTTGAGTGCAGGCATTCAAATGACGGGCTGCAGTGGTGGCCTCTGTTTCTTTTCACTGGTGTTAGGCTTCAGGATCACCAATGGCTTGTCTGAGTTAACCAAGCAACTGGCTAAAAGGGACTCTCCCTCCTGTTTAGGCAGCAGGGTAGTAGTTTGTTTAAATGGCAATACATTGGGGAACAGAAAGAGGACTAATAAACCATTTAAGATCTAGGTATAACTAGAACTTATGCTCCTCATGACTACAAAGGAGGCACCCTCCCCAAACTCGGGGATGAGGCATTTCCCTTCCCCAATCCATGACCTGCCCTTGAACAGCCCCCATACAACCTCAGCGTTTTCTGGCATCCCGGGTAGAATTAGATGTTACTGAGGAGGTTGAGGCAGATTTGCTGACCAATGGCAGGCTAAACTCCCTGGCTGGAGGAAAAACCTCTGCCATTCCTTGTGGGCCCTCTGTGGAGGGCAGTGCCAGGAGCATCAAGTAGCCAGCACTACTCTCCAGAGAGGGCAAGGTTCAAGCACACGGGGTTTCCTCAGAGATTGCCTGGAGGAGGCTTTTCAGTATAGTATCAATGGCCCTCTCAGTGGAGAAGGATGTTAAGGAAGGGTCTTCTTTCCTTTCAAATGGGCATATACTGTATCTTGTCCATTCTGGGAATCTCTTTACCTTTGCATGCTAGTTCTAGGCTATTTTTTGTTATTTTTATATCTCCTCTGACATCTTTCACTTAGTGCCTCTCCAGACGAGTATACAAATCATTATCTGGATCACTTTTTATGTGCTTGAATGTGAATTGTATCAAATTATGGTGTCCACACCTGTTCCAACTTGGAGTGCTCCATCCTGCCCCTTTTTTAGAGCCTTCTCACTCCTTTCTGGCACTGCACTGGGACTTCTGGTTTTGGGGCACAATTCAGTGTGCTCCAAATTATTCGTCATGTAGCCTGTGTGTAATCCACACCAAGGTGGGCAGTGTTATCTGAGGTGACAACCATGTGACATAACAGATGGTTTGTGATATTTTAATGGACAATGAGACCCTCCCTCTTATTTTCATTTTCTCTACTGTATTTTCAGAACTATTCTCCTATTGATGCAATGCTATTCTAGATAAATGAGATACATTTATGGTATTATGTGTACTGTGGTAGATACATGCATTGCTGTTTCACTATGTCACTTACAGGCATACCTTGGTTTATAAATTTAACGTGTTCTCCAGGACATTACGTAATGTGAAAAATTCATAAACCAAAACGTGGTTTGCCATAGCAACAGGGGTGGCTCTATAAACCTCCAGGCACAATGCATTGTGGGGAAACTTGTTTCATACAACGAAAAAAAAAATCATAAACCAAGGCATTATTTTCAATGGATTTCTATTCGTACACTGAAAATTACATTAACCGAGGCATTCGTAAACCGAGATACTACTGTATTTTGTTTAACAACAAAACAAAGTCACTGCAGTCTGCTGAACGACAGCCATGGGAAAAGGTGGGTCAGCTCTTATCCCCAAATTCATTGACAGATGACAACATATCTCCTCCCCCATAAAGGAGAGCAGACCCAGCAGAATTTTCCCCAATCTTCACCTTGCTCCTAAAACTGCTTGCCACACCACTGCTATCATCTGTGACTGTTGCTGTAGTCTCCTTACTTGTGGGTTAACCGGGTAAACCTTGCACATGCATAAACCAGTGATCCAAAGACCTGTCTGGACCCTTCCCATGGGAGAATAAACAGAGGCTGAAGATAAGAACCCTTTATGCGTGAACCAAAATACTCCAAATTCACCTGTCTAGACAGGACCTCAGTTGCCCTGTTGTCTACACACCTATGAAATCTGGCTCCTCATTTATTCTACCCTGTCTGCAACTCCGTCATCTCAGTCATGATGCTTTTCATTCTTTGCCTGTCTTCCAGGTCCAGGCTTGGCATTTGTGGTGTACCCCCAAGCCATGACCATGCTTCCACTTTCTCCTTTCTGGTCTTTCCTTTTTTTCTTCATGCTGTTGACTCTTGGTCTGGACAGTCAGGTAAGGACATCGTCTACCTTGAGGGAGCAACTAAGGGATATGCTTTCAACCGTCTTTATGGCTTTACAAGAGCATCTGTTTTCATCTGTGTACAGTTTGCCTTTCTAGAGACCATTGTTACCGCCGTGACAGATGAGTTTCCATATTACCTGCGGCCAAAGAAGGCTTTCTTTTCAGGCGTAGTTTGTGTCATAATGTTCTTAATGGGACTCATTCTCACAACAGAGGTAAGCAGAGCAGACCATCAAACACTACAACAAGTGGAGGGTTTTTTTGTTTGTCATTTTGGTAAGGATTTGCAAAGGAGAGCTATGTTCAGATAAAGAATCAAAAAAGGAAGAACTGTATAGGCCATCTTAGCTTCCATCATCAACTACCTGGAGCAAACCAAGTGATTACATGAAGAACATAACAAAGTAGAGAACAGATTACTGACTTTCCTAGCTAAACCAAGTGACCTGTTTGTATTGATAATTTACTATGGCTAGTCAATGCCTGAGATTTAAAATCTAAGATTTAAAATGGGTGGAATGAATCACAGTGGCTTAGTTTACAAATAACAGTAAGCTATTTTAGAGTTTGTTGCATTCTGACTTGGGTTTGTTGTTGTTTTGCACCCATCCCAGCAAATAAAACATGCTTTCTTAGTCAGATCCAGGTTATGATTGAGAACTATGGTTGTCTTATGACGTCTGGCTTATTTTTAAACATGGGTTGTTCATATCTTTGAACCTTGAGAGTCAAGTTATTCCTGGCTTGTTTTTCTCGTTGTCAGCCCTGAAACAGGTGTTGGCATAAACAGGAGAGAAACAAAGCAGAATCAGGAGAAACAAATTGTGGTTTGTTTGATACTCTATGAGATAATTGGAGACTAAAATATCAACTACATAAACTTAGCATGACATGAGAATGCAGTCGTTGTTTCATGAGCCTGTATGGATAAGGTCATGAATTTATTAGGTTGATTGCTTCTAACAAATGACTACAGCATCCAGCCCTTACGAATATTTAGGTGATTAAACTTGGCAAAACAGGATATGTTCACTAATAAGGGCATGTTATGTTCCTCTGCTTGGTATTTCTGTATTATGGGAAGTAGCTTTGGCCATTTATTTCTTCTTTCCAGGGTGGGATGTATTGGCTGGTGCTCCTGGATGACTACAGTGCTGGATTTGGACTTATGGTGATAGTCATTGCCACCTGTCTCGTAGTGACTCGTGTCTATGGTAATGAGACAGATATGGAAAGTATTAGAAATTCAATGTATTCGCCAAGGCTTTCATGGCCGGGATCTAATGGTTGTTGTGGGTTTTTCGGGCTCTTTGGCCGTGTGCTGAAGAACACGGCCAACCTTCAGAACACGGCCAAAGAGCCCGAAAAACCCACAACAACTATTAGAAAATCGTTCCATTTTTAAACAGCTGAGTCTGTTTCGCTGAAATGTATATATTTAAGTGGAATACACAAATGGATAGTGTGGCAGAGTGGTTAGCATGTTGGAGCAGGAAAATCCCAGTACTAGTCTCCCTGAGCCACTTATTGGGTGACCTTAGGCCAGTCAATCTGATCTACCTCATATGTTGTTGTAAGGGTAGAGTAAGGAGGAAGAAAACTTTGAATGCCACTTAGTTTGAAATCCCTGGAGGAAAGCAGAGATATAAATGTAATGATGCTAGTACTTATGCTAACAAAGATGAACACTAATATTAATATGCTGTAATTTCTAGGGTAAATGGCTCAAAAACCCCTGAAAGTTGTAGCAAAAAGTAACTTTTTCAAGTTCTGCTGAAATCTATGAGAGTAGTTTTTAACTGCAATTTTGTATGCTGATTTAAAGGCAAAGAACCTGTTATTTGCATTCTGTGGTCAGACGTAGGCTTGCCCTGCTTGAAAAATTGAGATTACAAATTGTGCTTGTTGGATTGGGAGAGTCACCTTGAGGTAATCTTCGGCTATCGTCTTATGCACAGTTCATTGATTGTGAGCTCCACTGAATACCATGGGATTTATTTCACAGTAACCATGTTTAGGATTATACCACGGTGGAGACACTGTCCCCTTTTTCCCCATCTCCTTCTGTTTTCTTTAGGCTTGAAGAGATTTTGCCGGGATATTCAGATGATGCTGGGATTCAAACCAGGGATATACTTCAAAGCCTGTTGGTTGTTCCTGTCCCCGGTAACCATGATGGTAATGATCCTAGTTCTGAAGTGTGTTTCTGGGTCTTTTTGTGGACTTTTTTTGTCTTCTGGCAGGGACTTCTTATCCTAGTCCCAGTGAGATTAAAACTTCACCTATAGCGCCTGTCATGATACCACGCCAATGAATTTAGCCATACTATTATTTATGTAGTGTCAGCTGGTGGGACTACTTTGCAGTCAGAAGTGTGATCCTCTACTGGGCATCCCAGGAGACAAACCAGCCCATGTGGTCTAGGGCAAACTAAATGGCCCTGGACCTCTCCCAGAAGAAGGCACTGTTAAAACTACTTCTGAGTAATATCTGTCTAGAAAACTCGGAGGAAGGTCACCATAAATTGGAATTACCTCGAGGACACATTTTTATTATTGTGCAGTATAAGACCCACAGGTTGGCACAATGACAGGAAAGGTTTAACAATATCATGCAATAGGTTGTCAGTAATATCAGTCATTATGCTGGCAATGATCATAGGTACTAGCAACTCAGGCTTGTTCAGGGTCCTTTAACCCAGAAGCCCACAAAAGCTTCTCAGTTCTTTGTCTAGTTGTGGAACAGGTCGCCCAGCAAACAGCTGCTTCCTTGCTGAAGCCATGGTGGCAGATCACAAGGAAGCCAACAAGCCTTATGGTTGTGGGTAACCCTCAAGACTGTCTGGATTGATATACGAGGGAATGTTTTATTTTATTGCCCAGAAAACTGTTGTGCGTTTTTCATTTGCTAAAGTAATATTCCATGGAAAGAGCCCTGTGTTTATATTTTGCCTCCAGCACTTAGTTTTTTTTGTTTGCCAGATTGCCAGGCTTCAGGAAGAAGAAGAGGTGTCATTTCCTGATCCATAGGGTAAAGGGGGGCATCCCTTTAGTGAGTAGCTTTGCTGTTGAATGGGTGGGATCTTCTGTGCCCTTGCAAGGAGGGCACTTGACAGAGTTGCATCCTCTTAAATTGATCTGGATGTGGCATTAAAGCTCAGGATGTTGGGCAGGCCCTGGCACAGGCCTTATGTATTTACTTTACTGATAGCCCACCTTTACTCCCAGTGAAGGGACTCAAGGTGATCTACAACAGCTTAAAAGGTATACATGCATTTTAAAATAAGGTTGTCTAATGCTGTGTTTCAGGCCCTTCTAGTGTATAGCATCATCAAATACCAACCTTTGGAGTACAATGGGACGTACCGTTTCCCATTCTGGGCTGAGGTTCTGGGCATCTTGATGGGTACCTTCTCCTGCCTGATGATTCCAATTGGGATGGTTTTTGCTGTGCTCCACGAGGAAGGGGCACTCTGGCAGGTAAGTAATGAACATGGGGGTCCAGTGACATCTTATCAGGAGATGTGAGTTTAACATTTCTGTTGCCTCCTGGCAAAGGTATCACTTTCTATATTTCCTCTCATTCCTTTCATAATCCTCTGGTTCTCATATCTTTATTTTATCTTAAGAAAAGAACAAACAAGTTCATTCGTTCATTAGCTCGTTCATTCGTTCATTCTTTCTTCCTTTCTATCTTTCATTCTTTCTTATTTAAAATATTTTACCTCACCGTTCTCTTAGGAAAGAACCCAAGACAGCTTACATCACTGAAACACAATATTAAAGATAAAAACAGTGAATTATTCAAATATTAAACAAATAACATTATATTAGAAATGTTAAGTAAAGCATTTCTAAAACATATTTAGATGCAACAAAATGCAAACCATCTTGTTTTAAAACCTCTCCTAGACAGTCAGTCACTAAGGACAAGACTGCTTGAAAAGGAAGGTCTAGCGTCCTGTGGGAGGGAGTTCCAAAGTCTGGGAGCAGCCACAGAGAAGGCCCTGTCCTGTGTCCCTACCAAGTGTGCTTGTGAGGATGGTGGACGGGAGACAAAAACCTTCCCTGATTTTAATATCTGGGCAGTTTCACATGATTTAGCTCCACTTTATATTACATGGGTATTTCTTACAACTGATACACCAAGTGTGAGACACCAAGCATGCAGTAGATATATATGTAGGTCATGACACGAAGCCCTATGAGCAAAGATGAAAAGAAATGGGCATATATAGTCTTGAGAAAAGAAAACTGAGGAGAGATATGATAGCACTTTTCAAATACTTGAAAGACTGTCATACAGGGCCAGCATCTATTCTTGATCGTCCTAGAGTGGAGGATACATAACGACACAGGAAGCCAGATTTCAGCTGAATATCAGGAAAAAACATAACTGTTAGAATGGAACCAGTTATCTCAGAAGGCCATAAGCACACCAGCACTGCAGGCGAACAAGAGAAAACTGGATAGTCAAATCTGAGTTGGATTTCCTGCATAGAACAGGAGGTTTGACTAAATGGTCTTTTAGGCCCTTTCCAACTCGATCATTCTATGACTCTATGTGCATAAGTCCCGTTGTGTGTTCCCACATGTTTTTGCTTTGTGTGCTTGCAGTTTGTTCGTTGGACTACTTTGTTGAAGTCTTTTAACTTGGACCCCAATTTTAATAAATATTTACATTTTCATTTTACAACATAACATTTTGTAACCAGTATTCCTGCATTGTAACATTTTGTAACTAGTAGTCCTTCCTCAAGCAGAGGGTTGGAATTGATGGCCTTATAGGCCCCTTCCAACCTCACTATTCTATGATTCTGTGATATGCGTCACAAAATGAAGGAAGTAAAAGAACGTTCTTGAATTCCCTAGCATTTCCTTTTCCTCCCTGATCTAGAAGCAGAAGCATCCCTAGACAATGGGTCCATATCTAGAATAAGTGCAGCCTTAAGAATAGCATTTCCTTTTCCTCCCTGATCTATGTATACTGTAACTGATTTTGCAGAAGCATCCCTAGACAATGGGTCCATATCTAGAATAAGTGCAGCCTTAAGAAGATAAAACTGCCTTGCTTGCTTCAATCCTCATTTGGCTAATGAGGGAATACAGACACAGACACACACACACACACACAGAGAGAGAGAGAGAGAGAGAGACTTTTGGTAGTGGGTGATCTGATTTTGAGAGTTGTAATAACTTACAAGCTCTGCCCCACCTCACCCACTACATCCCTTCCTGTGCTGTTGGATCACAGGCGTTGGCAGGGGAGCAGTTGTGCCCAGGCCTGCAAGTGCAAGGCAGGGGTATCCAAGACGAGAGCTCCCTGTTTGATTTAGGAACTCTGTTGACATCACAGGAAACACAGGGTAGCAGCCTTAGAATACTAATACGAGGCCAGTGCCTTTCCACCTGTATTGCTGAGGCAGAAGGTGTCCTCTAGTGGAGGAGATGTACTGTACATTGTGAAAACTTGCATCTATTAACAAATGTTTAGCAGGGTCTATCACTCCTGATTTGCAAGAGCTGCTAAACCCAAACTCACATGGATACAGACTGTGCATAGATTTAGACTGGCAGAGAGGTGTCGTATAGACAGAGGGGCTGTGCATTGCTCTGTGTTTGGAAGGAGATCACTGTGCGAAATGGATAGGCCTGTGTCACTCTGGCTGCTGCTAACAGCACTTGAAAGTAGAAATTATACAACAGTTGATTAGCATTTTGCCCATCCTGCCTCTTTTTTGCTGCACAAAGACTTCAGTGAATTGGTTGTTGTGGGTTTTTCGGGCTCTTTGGCCGTGTTCTGAAGGTTGTTCTTCCTAACGTTTCGCCAGTCTCTGTGGCCGGCATCTTCAGAGGACAACACTCTGTGCTCTGTTGTAGTTGGCTTGGGAGTGCAGTATTTATGGCTGTGAGATAGGCTTTCTCACAGAAAGAACAACCTTCAGCACACGGCCAAAGAGCCCGAAAAACCCACAACAACCATGAGGCAGAAGGTGTCCTCTAGTGGAGGAGATGTACTGTACATTGTGAAAACTTGCATCTATTAACAAATGTTTAGCAGGGTCTATCACTCCTGATTTGCAAGAGCTGCTAAACCCAAACTCACATGGATACAGACTGTGCATAGATTTAGACTGGCAGAGAGGTGTCGTATAGACAGAGGGGCTGTGCATTGCTCTGTGTTTGGAAGGAGATCACTGTGCGAAATGGATAGGCCTGTGTCACTCTGGCTGCTGCTAACAGCACTTGAAAGTAGAAATTATACAACAGTTGATCAGCATTTTGCCCATCCTGCCTCTTTTTTTGCTGCACAAACACTTCAGTGGATTTCCTTCATCGTGTTGTCTTTGGAGGCATTCTTCCATCTGTGCTCTTTCGTGATAACACTTGGCAATATGCTTATGGATCGCAAAATAATAAATATGTAAAAAACATAGCTAATCATTAAATTAGAGCCCCTAGAGGCCAAAGCAATATCTTCAGTGTTTTCCTTATAAATTAAAAGCTTGACTTTTTCATGGAAAGGTCACTTACCTTTTCATAGATCTAAGAAACTTTGGGTTATACAGAAATGCCTCAAAAGCAGTCCACGGTTTACTCATTATTGGTACCCACATTATTAATCCTATTTGGTACCCACATTATTAATCCTAAATACTCTCTCCATATTATTCTGGATTGCCTGGAAAAAAATAGCAGCCCACTATATCTATAGCGATAAGGGTTTTCCCCTAGCCTTCCTGATGTTTATAGTACAACTCATAACATTCCCAGCCATTGCCCATGTGGTCAGGGACTGATGGAAGTTGTCGTCTGAATTGGGTGGAGGACGCCACCAAGAGGAAGAGCGCCCCAGTTGCTTTAAGGGAGAAATGTTCATTCACAGCCAACCAGAGGAATCCGGCAATTATCTTTGTTGATGGTGCTTGGCTAGGATGGTCGTTAACAAAGCTATGGTATGGAAGACAGGCGGTGCCACAGGAAATAAAAGGCACACAAGGAAGAAAGAGACGAGGAAGTTCCTTGCAGAAATGCTCTAGTTATCAGTTCCAGAACCAACTTCTTCTTCTCTTAAAATGTGAGATTTATGAGTGTTCATACCCTGTTTCCCAGATAATAATACCTAACCTGAAAATAAGCCCTAGTATGAATTTTCAGGCTGCTCGAAATATAAGCCCTACCCCAAAACTAAGTCCTAGTTAAGTGAAACCTGGCCCTCCACCCTTGTTCAGCAATCAGAAGATGATGACATGACTGTAAAATAAACATCCCCTGAAAATAAGCCTAATGCGTTTTTTGGAGCAAAAATTAGTATAGGACCCTGTCTTATTTTCAGGAAAACACAGTAGTTAGTCCTGAAAGCTTGTGTCTAGAATTCATCACAGCCATACTGTAGGTGGTGCAGGAGGAGGCTGTTGGGCTGTTTTTCCCAACATGAAGATGAAGTTGGCTAATAATCATCAAACAAATAACTGCCTCATTGTTCCAATAGCTGTGGAGAAGCCAGCACTCTCTCTTCCTGCCAGAGACACCCAGAAAGCACTGGAGCCTGGGCAGGGCCTCTTGTTGTACTCTGCAAGCACTGGGGAAGGGGTAGCCTAGAAGCTGAACTATATGCATTTATTTTGCTTTGACGTCAGCCTCTGTATTATGCCATTCACTTTATATCATGTGCTTGAAAGGCCATAATTTCCCGTATGGTACAATATGGCCCACTGTGGTAGCTGGTATCTGTTGTGGTTTCTGGACACTTATACACACATATTTGCTTCAGGCACTCCTTCACTATCACTCCATTCATTTCCTCCACAATGCAGTAGAGCAGGAGGAAAATAAACCTGGTCTCCTAACTGGAAATGTGCCTGCATGCTGTTGCTTCCCTGTTTCCTCTGCCCTCCCCACATCTCTCTCTCTCTCTTGCTCGCTCGCTCGCTCTCGCTCTCTCAGCCCCACAGTTAGCATATACTGTGATGTGACTAAGGGAGTTGTTTGTCGTGAGGTGATGCAGGCTTCTCTATACCACACCCAGGCATTTCCAAAAGCAAAATGAAACAATGCAAGTAGAAGCACTACAAAAAACAAGCAAACAAGAAACCCACAAACTCTCCTGGCCAAACAAAGACACCCCACACTCATTCCAAAATATCAGATCTAGTTGCAGTGAGTGTGAATGGCATGCGGTTTATAGAATAAATACTGTATAGAAAGGAACAGGGAGGAGCATAGCACAAGTGCGAATGGCATGCGGTTTATAGAATAAATATAGAAAGGAACAGGGAGGAGCATAGCACAAAGAGCCGGAGACCTGTCTAATTGCTCCCCAAGTGTCCAGGAATAGAATGCTGGTAGGTCCTTGACTTTCACTTGCAGAGTTTTGAGTGAAATTCCCTTTTTATTATGCAGTAGAAAGAAATAGAGATCCACAGAGGAAAATAGCTATACATTCCCCAGAGTCCACCCCTTTCTCATTAACTGGCACTTAAAGTCTCAATTACTCACTCTGAGATATTTGTAAGGAGAAAGAATAAAAAGCATTCATTTCCTTAAAGTTGCTTGAAATCACAGGTCTGTGTATGCTGTTTTCTTTAATTTATACGTGCTTAGCAACCAACTGAATAGATAAACAGCAAACAAAGAATTGCCACCAACCAAGGAGAGACAGGAAAAAAATACAGTCAGCAGAGAGGCAGGGCTCTCTTTGCAATTAAAGACTGGAAGGAACAATTGGTTAGTGCAGGACAGACAAGCACTATGGCCAGAAAAGTCCTTTCCAGTTACACAAACTACAGACACAATACAAGATTGCAAATGAAACTCCAACACCTTCTAAGGCAGGCGGGAATGGAATAGCTGAGGCTAGCTTGAGCCAGAGGTCAGGCATTGCCCCACGTGTCCTAATGGACCAGCCTCTCCTGTATGCATTGTGTGTTTCTGCTGATACTTAGCATCCCCCATTTATACTATATACTGTATTGTTGAAATATTGAATCCCTATTATTATTATTATCATTATCATTATCATTATCATTATCATTATTATCATTATTATCATTATTATTATCATTATTATCATTATTATCATTATCATTATTATTAATTTTTATATGTATCTGGTCAATTACCAAATAATATACCTTAATTTTGCCTTCGACATCACAGATGTCAATACTGGAATTGTAATTCCAAACATAGACCTTGAGAAAGTGGCAAATATGTTAGCTTACGATCAGATATCAAGTGAATCCAGGCCGTGGTAAATGCATGAAGGACAGGAGAAACTGCTGCCACAAAGAGCCATTTTTCGGTGGCCTGGAGAAAGCAAATCTGACAGACAAGTAAATGGGAGTGGAACCGTAAGTGATTGCCTAGATAAGCAGGGAGGAAGTCCTAGGAAACCAGTTACCATGTCATAGATGTAAACAGTGGGGGGAATGGGTTCCTCTAGAATACCACTGGCTTTATTAATACTGCTTCATGCAGATTTTTTACCATTCACCCTCACGAAAGGATTCATTTAATTATTACCTGGTGAGTTCTCTCCTGCCCTTGGTGCATGGAGTGACTGAAATGCCATCCGCACTGCTGACTGTTTCCAGATTGTCCTGAACCCTGTATGAATCCAGATCGCCTATTTATGGGCTGTATGCATTCCAGGGCAGACAGATATCAACTGCAGGCCCAACTGTGCAAGCTTAGCACTGGGGAATATGTGCAATGAAGCACAAAGGACCACTTTCTCAAATGGCTGGAGCACATCATTGTGCTTCCTGTGTAACCTGTTTGTCCCTCTCCTTACAGCGAATCAAGCAAGCTAGTAGGCCAACCATGGACTGGGGTCCTTCTCTGGAGGAGAACAGAACTGGTATGTATGTGGCTACGTTGGCAGGCAGCCAGTCTCCTAAACCTCTGATGGTCCACATGCGGAAATATGGAGGGATAACCAGCTATGAGAACATAGCCTTCCAGGTAGATAAAGAGATGGAAGAAGATGAAGAAGAGTCCATGATGTGAAGGGACAGCGTCCCAATCCCTGCTCAGCCCGTGCACTAGAAGATGACAAGAGTGTGAAGAGTGAGCCTCTGAACAATGGCACACAGATTGTGCACACTTCAGGCCTCCCAGCAGTCTGATTCCAGGCCTAGACAAAAGCTGCTGACTGTTCAGTATCTCATAGCAGTGAATTTTGCTGAGAATCCCAGTGTTGTTGCAGTTTCTGTTTCACGTGGAGAGATGTGCAATGATGTTCCATCTGTTGTGTCTGATATAGGCCACCCCATTCATGTTGCCTCTTCGTCCCCTTGCCAGTGACAGATACAGTGTTATGGTGATACAGTCTGAAGTGGGCCATGATTATGACAGCTTGCCAAGCCATGCTCCCAAAGAGGAGAAGCTGCTTTGATTGTTCCTAACAGACCAATTAAAGCAGGTTTGATTTCCACCAGGGCCAGTTCTTTTATAAAGCTAATTGGTCTTAATTGTCCATCAAAGACCAAGGCACTGCACAATAGTTTGCGTTACCACTAGGATAGCTCACAGTTGCCATTGTTAGCTGAGAAGCCCCATTCAAACCCAATTACTGTATAGCTGAGATCAGTGGGAAGCCAGGGAGGAGTGACAGATGACATAAGTGGGTCTGCTAATAAAACATTCCTGGCACTTTGACTGTATGAGTTCTGTCTTCCCAGACGAATGGGTGGTTCCTCGTGGTTCACACCCCAGTGTTTGATATGCCAACCTTTCTCTGAAATCATTCTTTCTTCTTGTCATTCCCCCAAGGTACTTGCATTTCTGTTTCTCAGATTTCACGGTGCGACTCAGGACAGCACTGAGGGGCTTTAACAAAATGGCAAAATTGTTCAGATCTCTACTTTATATGGCCTGGTAAGTGATAGGTTTGTGATTGACTAAGGAGCCGGCTGCAAAGCCAGAAGTTGGGAATTCAGTTCTCCACTGTGGCTCCAGTGAGTAGAGCCAGCCAGGGTGGCCTTGGGCAAGCTGTACAGTTCAAGGATGACGCCAGAAGAAGGGAAGGGAAGGGTAAACCACGTCTGAGTCTTATACACCTAGAAAAGTGTTTCCATATGTTGGAGTTGACTTGGTAGCATGTAATTATTATTAAATAAGGAGTTTTATCAAATTACTAGCCTACAGCATATATTGCTTCCAGAATGTTTAGAGAGCAAAGGTATTTAGACAAAGCAGGAGAAAATCCATAGAATTAAAATAACGAACCTAAAACTCTGATTTTTGAATTATAAAATTAAACAGATCAAAGGTATTACACATTGGTGAGAATAAAATTATTACAGAAATGTTATACACACGAGTAACTATCACATTATAGGTAAAAGGTAACTCCTTTCACCTGAGCAGGGAAGCAGGGAAAAGATAAACCTCAGTAGACCAAATTTTTGTGAAGAAGAGATATCCACATAAGGGACAGTGTAAAACCTACTGGGTATGACAGTGTCTCTGCATGTGAAGATTAATTGTGGTAATAATAATAATAACAATGAAACATTGTCTAGCAATTGTTTGTGATCCCGCCTAACCTCAGCACCACATCTATCCATAAAAGGTTGGTTCCTAGGCTCAGCACTTCATTAATTCTCTTTGGGTGGTGTAGGAAGTGGAGCTGAAGCTCCTCACTGGGAGGTCCAGGCAGATAATTTGTTTCATAACACATTTCTCCTATACAATTTATGCAGAATGTAGGAAGCTGCCATATAAGGACAGAGATCTGGTTTAGCCCTGGTTACAGAGAGCCTTTCTAGGGTTGCTGGCAACTATGTTTCCCACCCATGTCTGGAAATGCCAGGTCATGAATCTCAGGCCATTCATGTGCAAAGAAAGTGCGATTACCACAGAGCGACAACTCTTTTTTAATGGGAAGCTACTGTAGGTTATCTCCTGCCAGCCTAGCAGTTTGAAAGCATGCAAATGTGAGTAGATAAATAGGTACCACCTCTGTGGGAAGGTAATGGCATTCCATGTCTAAGTCACACTGGCCATGTGACCATGGAAGATTGTCTTCGGACAAATGCTGGCTCTATGGCTTAGAGATGGAGATGAGCACCGCACCCTATAGTCAGACACGACTGAACTAAATGTCAAGGGGAAACTTTATCTTACTGTAGGTTATATATTTGATTGCTCTAAATCTGTGTCATTTATACCCAGGGTGGGGAATGTTTCTTAGCCCACAGGGCATCTTGAGTGTTACAATGGGAGAGGCTTTAGGGAAGAGAGTGCTGCCTATGAGCCAAAGCCAGGTATATGTGTGATCCTTTACATCAGTGGTCCCCAACCTTGAAGTCAGGTATATGTGTGATCCTTTACATGGTGGACATTTTCCCATCAAGAATACAAAGCACAACTTGATTTGTATGACTTCTTCAGAGTCAGCTCCAGATATAGGTGCACAGTAAGACCCACTGCCCATCATTCACTCTCTTTGCTACAGATAATATCCACAGCCATGTCAGATATTGGGCAATGGTTATATAACTGCACCCATGGAAAAACCAATGGCTATGGGTATAGGACTTTAACCGGGAGGCCTAAAAAGCCTTGAGGAATTGAGTTTCTTTCGAATCCTACCGGTCTAGGTCAGCAGCAATGTCATTTACCATCTGAAGCTTAATAAAAGAGGATAAAAGCCAGGTTAACGTGTGGATAACTGTGGGTGTGACAGGAACCATCACAGTTGGCCACAGCACTGAGATGTTGAAGGCAATGGGCAACGACCACCTTCTGTCTTCCAAATATATTTGTCATGGCTAGACCGATGTGTAAAAAGGACAACGACCACCTTCTGTCTTCCAAATTCTGTCTTCCTTTGTCATGGCTAGACCGATGTGTAAAAAGGCTGTCAGTCCCCAGCAGAGTGACTGACCAGAGAGCGCTAAGGATCTTCATCTAGCCCAGTGGTTCTTAACCTTGGGTTACTCAGGTGTTTTTGAACTGCAACTCCCAGAAACCTCAGCCAGCAGAGCTGATGGTGAAGGCTTCTGGGAGTTGCTGTCCAAAAACATCTGAGTAACAAAGGTTAAGAACCAGTGATCTAGCCCTCTGGTTCTTAACCTTGGGTTACTCAGGAGTTTTGGACTGCAACTCCCAGAAGCCTTCACCACCTGCTGTGCTGACTGGGGTTTCTGGGAGTTGCAGTTCAAAAGCATCCGAGTAACAAAGGTTAAGAACCACTGTTCTAGCCGAAAGTTAATCAGGCATTTGGAATGTATGGTACACGTATGAGGCAGGAAAAACCTACAATACTGTAAAATGCATGACAAGGATGAACATTCAGAAGTGACGTTTGGTGGCCAGGATCTGGCCAAATACAAATAGATACATGCAGAAAGATCAGGGTGGTAGCAGGGATTGCCAAGAAATGACTGTACAAACTACTGATGGGTTGCTATAATCCTCTGATACTTGCAATCAAGGGTAAAATCACAGTATGAACACATTAAAGAACTGTTTGAAGACAACAAACTAATGCAGTTTATTATACCAGACGCCAGTATGTGACGAGAAATACAGAGGTCCAAAATCTGAAATGGAACTTAGCAATTTTTTTAAAAAGATAAAGCTCTAGGATTGAACTATATTTTTGCAGAAGTAATAAATATTAATAGATGGTGATGATTTTGATGTTTTAGTAAGTATTTTCCAACAGAACAGGAATTATTTCTTAAATTTGGCTGAGCTCAACCTTTATTATGTTATCCCCAAAAGGAAAGTGGTAAAACTGGCAGTGACCACAGTACAGTTTATGACCTGTTTAAGATCCTCTCAAAAGTAATATATGGCAGAATTCACAAAAAGAGCAAAGAAGCTGACATTAACTGGTGGAAATCTGTCACTGGGATTTGCATCAATTGCATGATGGTGGTCTAAAAGCTCAGTAGGATTTTGGCTTCTGAATCTTTTCAAAATATAGGGAAACACTGCTATTTTATAAAAGCAGTCCCAAAGCCATCATACTCTCAGTCTTTGAGCTCCTATGGTCTTTCTTACATAAAAGTTGGTAGAAGTTTCCTTTCAAAAGATTATTTTATGTCCTTCTTTTGAAGTACTGCATGGAAAGAGGCTGGAGAAAGGACTTCAGTATGAGTCCTTAATCTATTTGGTCAATTTTGGCAAAGTGAGGAATTAGATGGGGATTCACCAAACTATGTGGAACACGTAAGTAGCTGTGGCTTACAGTAAGATATTCTTTTACAACAGAAGGTGAAAGCTATTTGTACAAGTCATTTTTTCCTCCTATTGTTGGATTTGCTAAGAGTTCTCTTTTTTAATCTCTCCTTAAACCAACACAACTTGGCTAAATGGGCTATGTGTTTGTGGAATGGTGCTGCGGTTACCATTCTTAGAGTAGCTAGTAGAAAAATGAGAGTGATCAAGATTGTCTCCTTAAACGTAGCATTTCTAAAATTTGCCAGGGTCTTGATCTCTGCTTTGTGCTTAAGTCTGCACATCTGAGTTTCTGTGACAAAAACTGATTCCTGATTAATTATGAAAGACACAGGACATTTCCTGTTAAAGAGCAGTTTCAAGAATCAACTGCATTAGTCAGTTTTTATAATGTATTCCAGTAGGTGACACATATTTTTGAGAGTGTGCATATGAGCGTGTATTTTTTTATTAGAAGAAGATAATGATGTTTGAGTTTTATGTACAACCTTGCATGCTGTCTATCATTTGAGCGTCTGGTAGGGACTTTTCTGGGCTGGGACAATTGTCTATATATCCAATTATTCCTTCTAGCTTTTAAAATTCAGAGAGCTGAGTGTTCTATTGCTCTTTCATTGATTGGTGGCAGATTTTTTGCTGTTGATCTGTTTGGTCGGTTGCTAGTATGTGTGCAGTAAAGAAGGCAATATACAGAAGTCTGTAATTTCAAGCAATTGTAAGTAAAGAAATGTGGTTTTTAAACATTCTTTCTCCTACAGTGTCTCAGAGTGAGTTATCGAGACTTTAAGTGCTAGTTAACGATAAAAGGATGGACTTCAGGGAGCTTGCAGTTATTCTTCCCTGTGGATCTCTGTACTTCTACAGCATTGAGGGGGGACGGGAAAGAATTTTACCAGAAATTCAAAACTCTGCAACAGAGGAAGACTTCAGTGTCTTCTTTTTATGAAACTGAGATCTTTAAACTTGAAAGTGATATCCTTACAATCAAGTTCATGTTTGTTATGTGTTTGAAAGTCTGCAATATCTCGAGAGACACATATTTCATATATGTAATTTAAAGATGTTTTCCACTATTGCAGGTGTGCATATGGGAGCAACAAAAATTGTGGTTTTTATGTGCTTCTGCCAAGTTTTAAGACTGACAATAGCAACACATGTCCTCCCTCCCCCAAAAAGTATTACTTCATTTCCTTCTCTTTTATAAACCCCTATGTGGGCTTAAACTTGAAGTGGTTAGAATCAAGATCCCCCCCATTCATATTTACTTACAAGTTAAGAAAAGGAGGATTAGCTGCACTCAGTGGCCAGAATTCTAAGCCCACGCAACATGTAGCCATTGAATCAACTGCTACAGAATAAGTCAACACATATGTAAATCTCATTGTTTCTCTGGGCTTACTCCAGTCTGGACAGTCCCTAGGATTCTTACTTGTGTATTTAATGTGATGTATAGTTAGCCTTCAGCA